GGGATCACAGCCAAAACTCAGACATTCCCTGTTACCCTTGCTTACCCAGTGCGCAATGCCCACCAAATATTGACCAAGCAGACCAGGCCTGCATCTCTGCTCTTAAGGGTTTACTACTGTAGATTTATCAGAGCTATATGGAGGCACTGAATGTGCATGGATACCAATTTATTTTGGTAGGATGAGACACGAAACGCTTTCTTCCCATGCATGGGTAGGCAGCTGTCTTGAGACATTCCAAAACCTGATGCTGAGAACTTGCTTGTCTGTGACCTGTGCTGAAACAGAAGTACCCACGCAAGGGGCACCTATTCTCCCTTAACACAAACTATGTTTTGGATTCAAGACTCGCAGAGAAAAGGGACAGTGTTCACATGTGCTGTGCGTGGTTAGCGGCTTGTAAATGATTTCTTCACTTGAGAGGAGTAATTTTTGCATCCCAGATGTGGGACATTGGAGAAGACTTTGGATGGTCCATGAACCAGATGCAGTTTTCTGTGGTGCTGTGCTGGGTGTACCGAGGTCAAGTAAGAAAGCCACAGCAGTCAGCATGCGAGCACCTGACGGGAACTCTTGCCCAGAGGAGAACATGCTGGCAAACAGGAACCACAGCTGGCCCCAAAACCAACTTATTGTCTAGTCCACTAGTGCTACGATCTTTATGTAGAGAATATTGATTTTAGGCTATGGTGTCAGGAAAAGCGATGCTCTGTACTTAACACATGTGATCTCCTAGGTTATAAACAGTGTGCAATTACACAAGCACTACTTACCAGTAGTTTAAGCAGTGTTTGTTAGTTGTTGTTGTTGTTGTTCTCTCTCCCAAGAGATTACTGCTATTACTGTCTGTAGGTTGTCATTTACAGTAGTGTAATCATCTGAAAAGATTGGATTTGTTAAGCTTCTCAGATAACAGACAACCAAGTCAAGCAATACTTACAGATACCAAATGGATTTAAACAAAAAGGTTTTGTTACTTGAAGCTGTATTATTTTACGATGTGTCATCATAATGACAAAATACATAATAATGATAACATACAAAGGGATTTCTGCAAATTCTAGTATTAGTGGTATCAGCACCTTAGTATGACTTTAGTGTTCAGTAACGATACAGATACCGCTTGACTCTTCTTGTTTAAAAGAGCACTAAATCAGGGTTTTTTTCCCAGAACCTGACATCAAGTCTGTGAAAGTCGTCTTCTCTGAAGAAAGAAAAACTATATGAGATTTTGTCTCGAGTACGTAAACCACGTACATTGTTAGAGATTATAAGAGGCCTTAAAAACTACTGGTAAATTAATTTATTAAAGATGACTTAGTCCTTCAGGAAAAAGATTGTAATCATGCAGGGATTTTGAGCATTTTTCTTACATAGTGGACTTACAAAACCTTTTTAACCTTACACTAGTTTATTTTTACTTTGATATTCTTCACCAGTAAAAAGCTCTCCACTTTGCTTACCTGCATTTCCTTGTGCTTTGGTGGGATTTGACACTTGCAGGCCTCTGTCAAAGGAGGTCAAGGCACATCTCCCTGCATGTGCCTGCTACTCCTGTCCTCCATGGAAGCCCAAATATAGCAACTCCATAGGGACGCAGAACACTATGATGGGAGAAAGCAGGTTAATACAGGAAAGTGAAATGCAGGGGATCCGAAATGAGCTGGCCCAAGGCCTTTCTGAATTGAATTTTGCTGCTTTCCAGGACATGGGGCCAAGGTCATTCCCAGCACAGACGCAGCAGAGGGGAGGGCTGGGGCAGGAAGTTTCCCCGGGCACCGACCTGGTGTAGGAAGCAGCAGTGAGTCATCAAGGCGAGCGCCCTGGAGCTCCAGCACCCTGCTCTCCCACCCGCTAGCGAGGGTGCGAAGGATGGAGGCAGCAGCCGCGGCTGGCCTAGGCTGCCTCCCCCGCACACGCCTCTCGCAGCCCTCGGCACAGGCCTTCCCTCGGGAGCAGCTGGCCATACAGGCCCCCGCGACGCGGCCCTGCCCCAGCCGCGGCACGGCGCAGCACCAGGGCTTTGGCCATACTGGGCGCTTCAGCCTCGGCAGTTTTGCTGCCCTGGGGCCGACGGCCGCAGAGGCAATTGCCTGCTTTGTCGGGGCCTTCGAGAGCAAGTAGATCCACCCAAAGCATGAGGTAAATGCAAGCTACTGTAGCCTTTAAAAAAGCCCAGAAAACCCCAAAGTAAACGGGAGGCCATCCCCCATCTCCACTGTTTGCTGGAGCAACAGCCCGTGGGGGCAGGTAGCTGCACAGGAAAGGAGGAGCTTGACCTCTGGTGAACAACCTCCTTCTTTCTGAGGGATAGGACAGATGAGGCAAGGACAATACGCTTTCCACCCACCAGAAAGACTAAGGGGAAAAGATTTGCCAGTTGGACTGTACCTTGCGAGTTGCTGGACAAGCTCACTTCCCAGTAACATCAGTGGGACTTCCGTGGGAGCTTAGCCACTGGGGTGCTGCAAGCTGTTACAGGGGTAATGGAGGGGGTGACAGGGGAACGTATTAATGCAAATGCATGTGAGGCTGAAGCTGTTTGTGGTCTGTAGTAACGCATTCAGGTGATACCTCACAGGTAGTAATGATTGTACTTGAACAAGTTAGTCCTTACCCTGGCTGCTGGCTTTCTGCTTTGCAGATGTGGCAGTTCCATTGCTCAAAATACATTCTCCTCAAGTCTGAAATGGTATTTGCTGCTGCTTCTCTTTTCTTCTTTTTTTGTCTTCTTTGCAGTTTAGATTTGTTATTTATCTAGGTAACGCTCCATAAGTCCTTTTAAATATAAATGTACTCCTCAATTTTCACTTCTTCTAGAGCTGGCAATAGCTCTTCACTTACCCATATTTTCTCTTACATGCAGCAAGGTAGGTGTTGCTCAGTTCTCTCACAGAAGGCATTGATGAGAACAGCAGGTCCATGTGCTGTTCCCAGAAAGAAACTAGTCGGACTGAACGACATCGTACATGTTGGCTGCTAGATCTTTTCTGTCCTCAGCTTCCTGCTAAAACAAATTCGTTTTGACTGTTCCACATAGTAAAATGTTGTCGATCAATGTAATGCTGAATGGTGCTGGTGGCTGACTCACCACTCTTGGCTTGACTACTGCAGAGTAAAAGTGAGGTACTACCAACTATAAAAGAAGGGGCTGCAGCTAACAAAGCAAGAAACAAGGAAAGAAATGGGAATCTAGCAGCCATCGTATGGACAGAAAACATTGAGAGAAGAGTCACTAACGTTTTTGCCAAATCTAAGCTGTATTTATTTTACTGATGCTGATCGATTCAGTAGGACATGGAGGTTTTGAAAATGGAATGCATAAACACTGCGTGGTAGAAATTAGGCGAGAAGCAACATCTTAATATACGGCACAGGAGTGCGTGGAGCATCTCTGATGGTGAGGGAGCCTGGGTTCCTAAACAGTCATTCCCAAAGAATGTTAAAAATATTTGTGGCAGAGTACAAGCTGGTGAAATACGATTTTCTGAGCTGCTGTCTGCTTATTTAAAGCATAAATGATCTTACAGCATTTCTGTGTGGTTTTTTTTCATATCAATGCTAAGCTTATCTTAGAAACACATCTTCAGTACATGAAGTGAGTTAAAAACATCCATTCTAAAACTCGGCTGCAAAGAGAATGTGACTCGGCTGCTTACTGGTGCAAAGAGAGATATCCTGTCTTTTTTTTGTTCTGTGATACAGTTGTAGCATTATCTGGTATCCAGGGCTTTGAAGGATCTATTGTAAGCATGTCAAAGACTTTTTAAATTACTTTGTTTTTGTAAATATTAGATCACAAAAACTGAGGAATGAGTCCCACAGACTTTCATTAAACAATGTGTCTCATTATTGTTTTTCCTGTTCTGGAGTTGAAATTAAACTCTGCATATTTATTCTTTCAATGAGAAAAAAAATCTGTTTTAATAATTACCATGTCTATAGAAAAGTGTATTCAAGGTGCAGCTTAGACACTAACTAGTCACCACTGTGTACTGCTTGTGCAGTTGGGAGACAAGAGGTAACTTGCACAAGAACCTGATGTCCATGATGGAGCTTGGGTGAGACAGGACTGCTGTCCCATGATCAGCGTCTCACTTCCTTAGTGACCTGGGCAGTCCAGGACTAACAAGCTATGGGACAAGTCTTCCACGTGGCAGTTTTGCACACACGAAGGGTGCATTCCCACAGCAAGTGGTAACTCACCTAGCCGCCTTTCTGGCTAACACTCACTGGTTCAGAGAGATAAGGGAGGTAAGTGTCACAGCTACAGGGCAGCTGGTGGAGTATGGGTGTGAAGGCTGTGTGGTTGGAGGCTAGGAATGGCTGAGCCTGAACTTGGAGCCCAGATTAAAACATGACAAGAGTCTAAGACTGGGACAAAGATGCAGAAGTGGGAAGACAACAAATCAGCAGCTTGCCATAAGAAAGAGGGTGAAAAGAAAGAATGAGCAAAAAGAAAGAATGGGCAGAAAACCCTCTGCCCCCTTGCCCCTAGACTTAGTTTCAGGAAATCATGGTCATTCTGATGTTGGCATGTACTTTTCATCCCCCTCCAGCAAGAGTCCAAACTCTCCTTCAGTCCCCTTCCTCTAAAGGGTGACAACGTACAGTTGCTATCTGTTATTATTCTGGTACCTCATGGTGCAAAGGTCAGCGTCCTGACCTAGAAGGTCTCGCCTTGCTGAAGACCATCTGGGTTTCAGAACATCACTGGACAATGGAATTCCTGCTTTATTTAGCGTAATTTTTAAAAAGTTTGGGAAATTAGTACAAAAAAGTACTAATTAGTACTAATATTGTACCAACTAGCAAAGGTAGAAGAATACTCAGGTTGTGAAATGAACTACTCAAGAACTACAGTGTCATGATTAAGAGTTACCTAGTGATTTGATCCTGTTATGCATATTAATTAGGATATTTTAAAAACAAGTTTTCGTCCAACTTTATTTATGCTGACAGTTCTTCAATGCAAATACTTGTGTGAAGCTGTTCATTTCCACAGTGCTTAGTATCATAAACAGTCATCACAATAGCAGCACGTGCTAGGTATTTTAACTTCATTTTACAGGTTGAACAAACTCCTTCATAGCCAAGTGGGAAGCGCATCTGCAAAGCAGATTTAGAAGCTGGAATATCTTGGTACCTTTTCCTTAATTCAAATGACTCTTTCTTCTGAGCCAGAGCAGTACATAAAATATATAGGGTGGGGATGAAATCCTGTCTCTACAGAAATTAATATAACTCAGACATTATGGTGCAGATCCGTATTCTTAAGGTCTAAGTTATTCTATTCACCAAACCAAATTGCTTACAAATTGGCAAACTAACAAATATCAGCATTTATCAAAATTAAATCCATATGTTCTTCAAATCCATGTATCACCAACTACTTCCAGATGTAAATATCCATGGAGAGTTTTAAGGAACCTCAGTCCCGCAGTCAGTTTCCATCTTGATTCTCAAAATTAGCACTGTTTGCAAGAGATATACAACAATGTTTGGTCTTTTCAGGAAACAATACTTGTTGCTTTCCTTAGAGCCAGGTATCCTGTAACCACATCTGAAGGGAGCATCCGAATATAGGCAAATTCTTCAATAGTACTAAATCTCAGCTTGCTCTGGGGATCTGTGTAATTTGCCTGAAAAAGAAACAATATCAGAGACACTATTCAAAGAATATCTCAAAACAGAACACTAAAAAAAAAGTGTCTAGTTACAAGACCACAAAATAGTGAGTTTCTTTTCCCTGTAACAGCACTGCTGTTCTACCATGTGACCAAAAGTCTGTACCTTTTCTCTCTCCTTGTGTCAGAACTTATGAGAAGTTAACAGACCCCTATGAAATCACATTAGAAATGCATTAACGGAGGGCTAAAACAGTTTCATACAAAATACAGTGCAAAAGGAATTCCTCAACTCTCTAAATTCACCCTAACAACTCTGTGCCTTGTGCAGTCTCTCACAAGGCAGCTCTCCAAAGAGTCAGGCTGCTGCCAATAAATTACCCACAAAGAGGCTGAATTATGGGTGCTGTGATAGCTTTGGACTGATTTTCTCTTCCTGCATACAACTTAGCTTTTAATTTACTTTAAAGAGGTTGTGAAAGCAAGGGAGTCTCAGCTTATGGCTCTGTGACTGAACTGATAAGAAGTTTGAACTCAGCATTGCGCTTTGCTATGGACGCCTGCTTTCAGAATAGCCTGGCCAGCTAACCCTGGGCTACGCTCGCATCCTCTGCTGTATTTAGACCCTGGGTGCCTGGGAGCAGTGCCAGTTTCCTTCCATCCTCTCCCCTTCCCTGTTGTACAGAAACCTTGAGCTTGGATGAGCTCAGGAGGCAGCACGGGAGGCTGGGCTGGAAGAAGGCAGGCTTTAGGGGATCGCCTCTCCACCTGCAGTCTCCAGGACAATCACCACCCATTCAGCACTGGATTACCAAGTGCCCGAAAGTGTCTCCTGTACCTTTCTTTAAGAGGAGATGGTGGCAGGCTCCAAGTCACAGGCACTTGAGATCCCTTAAGGCATTGCTACTTAAAAAGAAAAGGCCAGGAAGAGCTGAGGCATTCCCCCCCCATCCAGACTGTTGAAGCGTAGAGCCTTCTACCATTTTTATGCTGGAAAGGTTCTGTTGACCATAGTAACAATCCTGTTAATCATCTGGCTTGATAAGACTTAGAAGAAAATTAAGTGTTATTTGTAGCTTGTTTCTTTACAAAGAAATGCTACAAGGTTAATTAAATGTAGTCTGCTAACAACCAAGCCATCAATTCATTTTCAAACAAATGGCAAAGTTAGGACATCAGGAGTAAATTTATACCTGCTGTAACCTTGAAGTTACCACTTCATGGCTGCAGCAGGTATAAATTTATTTTTATTTCACACTTTAAATCTGGCCCCATGTATCTAAGAAAAAGCTAACCAAGCAGACTCCTTTTCAAATGTGCATCATTCTGTAATAAACTAGCCAAGCAATATCTGCAATTTGTGTTGCGTATCAATCTACGTTAAAAATATTATGGCAGTTCTTCACCATTCTCATACTGCGTATTGGGCTGTACTGTTTGCACTCACTAATGCATGGTAACTAGCATGTCATTTATGCCATGACTTCAGTCTGAAAACAAACTTTAACACTACTTCAGCAATAATTAAAGCACGTTAGAAAAGTGAAGTAAGGTGGTTTTGAAAAGAAAACCTCTGTCATGTTTAGAAATGAAGTTAAAGGCCACAGATACATGCTCTTCAAATACAATAAATCAGTTATCTCAGTCTATAGTAACAAGGCTGATCCATTTTCAGAAAAGGAAGAGAAATATAAACATTTGAAGGTTTGTCTGTTTTTTTTTTTAATCTGCTTTACAATAAATGACTTCGTTTTGCATTTTAATATATCTAAATACTCATCTTGCAAGTTTGGAAGTAATAGTTTTATTTTGCAGTGTCAATAGAGTAGATAATAGCTTTTGAATTCTAGGCTGCCTTACAAATATAAATTAGCTGCTCTGCTTAGACCATTGGTAAATTTAATTCCATTTGTGTTACACACAGAAAGAAAAGAGGATCAGTAGAATTTAACTGTGACAGTTAATACAACTGCAGGTATACTGATGAGAGTGTTTTTTTAATACAATTCTCTTTTTTTGTACCTGCTAGACCATTTAATTCTTCCCTAAATAGGTAATGCTAAGGAATTTGGTTTACTTTTTTTTTTCCTCCATGGGAAATCCAGAATTCCCATTTCAAATATAATCTTACACAAATGCTTTCAGATTTTACACAGAAAATAGACATTTTTCTTAGACTAGATTTCTAAAATATTCTATTACCCCACATATCTTCCTACTAGGAAATGATCTTGAAAATAAATTTAGTGCTTCTTATGAAACATTTCTGGCTTAGCAATTTAAAGGACGCACTGCCTCAGTTATCTTAATAAAAGAGATTTTTTAAAGCATGTTATTTTTATCATAGTCTGGAGAAACCTTGCAGGCCAGGTAAAATAGGAAACTTGAATCACTATGCAATTAGAGGATGTAAAATAAAGAGAAAAAAGTGGAAAGACAAAAAAAGAAACAAAAGCTGCACTGAATGGATTCATATAGAAAGAGTATTTATACTGAGCTAGAATAGTTAGAGTACATAAATCACTGATGGAAAGGAGGAGGAGGCAAAGAAACATCAAGGAACTGAAAGGCAGACTCTTATTTCCTATGGCTAAACTGACCCTTAGCTGGTAGGGACATGGTCTTCACTCACATCTATAACCTGCATCATCGTCTTGCTATAGGTGCAATGACCTAATAGTTTTGAAATGCATCAACGGCCACTGCTGGAAATGATTACTTGGTTCCTTGGAGATGGGGCAGTGGAAGGGACTTACGCCCTTATGCCTTCTGCCTCACATAAGCCCCTCACAGGTCAGAGATGTTACTGCAACGCTAATAGCACCTGGTGTGAATGCTACCGATACTTGCAAGGCAACTCTAAGGGGAGAGGGTAGGAAACAGATGACCACTGTTAAGTGACCCAGTATGGAATTTTTGTTGTCTTGGTGATATCCCTCATTATTATTTCACAGGTCCACCTATCCCCCTTTCCTCCATCCACTGCATCTTTATATAGAGTAGGGGTACTTATGCAAAGTTCCTTATTCAACTGACCTCTACTCGTGTCTGAAAACAAGTTGCTGCTACATGAAAACAATACTCTTACTAAGAGTACAAGACTGTAAGTCTGCCTGGCTGGAGGGAATTATTTCCCCTGGGTTTGTGAGCAGTCCCTTCCATTCGCTGGCTGCCAGTTCATCTGCGAGGGAGGTGTTGCTTTCCCATTCCCTCTTGAACACCAGGGGTTTTCAGCCTCGATCCGAGCAACCCACTCCATTTCCAAATCATGCTCAATGGCACAGGCTGGAAACATGCCACCTCCTCGGTGCCTTATTTAAATGTGTTACTTAAAAACTTAAAAAGTCAAAGAAAACATATGCTGCCAAATCAAGAACTCAAATGTTAGGATGTGCAGCATTACAGTTGGTGCTGTAGCTATTCTTTGATCGCTTGCACTGTGTATCCACTGTAAGGCAGTCCTTAATTAAGTGCTCACTCATTTTTTCCCAACAGAGACTTTCACGTAATTCAGTGTACAGAATGCAAAGTGCTGTGTTAAACCTGCATCAACATAACAAATGTGTATATTTACAGGCAACCCTCTGAGTTGATATCAAGCCTATGAGGTGACCTAGTGCCTTATGGATGAGAAACAGATTAAACTGGGGGAAGGGAGGCTGTCTAAGGCTATTTGATGTTACAAAGTTTTCATTATTGCAGTTATATAGTGTAACCATTACTTAACCCTTTTTATAGTCCAAAAGATAACATTCCCATTCATTTCAATTGTAATAAATGCATAGGCTTCTGCAAAATAAATCACTGGGAGCTGAAGGTGAAAAGTGAAAGGATATGCTGTTGCTAACACCTGTTTTGTTTTAAGTAAAATTATTCATGTCACGTAGGAACAGTGTCAGCAGCAGATACAAAATTTTTGTTGGGCAGAATTCAATGACTTTACTCCTGTTTTGTGCCAGCAGAATCTTTGGGGAATTCAGGTGCCAAATTGTAACTACTGAGACTTTTTGGAGCATGTGCAAACCATATCTAAGTCAAATGTGGGGTTTTTTTTTTTCTTTTCTTTTCCTTTTCTTTTGCTTTTTTCTTTAACAAAACCATGTAAAAGAGCCCATCTGTGACAAACAGGCTATACATCTGCCAAACTCCAACTTCCAGCTCTGAAGCATGGGGGTATTTGAAATTCTCAAAAGTCTGTGCCAAGTGCCTGTCTCAGGCCAATTTGTTTGAGGGAAAGTTTGAGAGTAATGATAACAAGATTTTTTTTTTTTTTAACCTGGGCCAAGCAGTATAATTTTGTCTAATCTCATTCTTGGAAATTGCTGGGCCATCTTTTTGAAACTTCCTCTAAAAGATATAATGAAATAAATCAGGCAAACACTCAGTATGGAAAGTTTCAGTCTGTGTGGTTAAAGCTTGGCACAGTTAGGAGTCATGGAGACTGTGGGCTACCAGCTTTCACTGTAACAACCTAAAGAATCCGAAATGATGGTGACCAATGCAGACTCTATAGCTGGGAGCGTGGTGTGACAGGAGCCACCTGGCAGGACAAGGTATTTAATCTGTCCTGATGTATATTAACAACCCAAGGATTTTGTGATGTAGGGAAGGTATTTGAGGTCTGGCCCTAAACCACTGGACAACTTTTAAGCGCAAAGCTGAACAGGAACCTCAGCAAGTACATCCTTTACAAAAGTATGCACCAGCTTTATTTCACTGTAGAAAGTGAGGTACCAATTTTGAAGAGAAAAATAAAATCCTTACCGGAAGTCCTGAAATGTCCGAATATTTCTTGGCAGGCTTAAAGGAAGGAGGAGCATCAATACTAAAATCTAGAGAGAAACAAAGGGATAAATTCAGTGTGCTATATATATTTTAAAATGCAAACTCAAAATGTAAATAGCTAACAATACTTCTTTAAAATTCTGCCTTTACTTTCTGAGTCTCTGTTAACTAGCAGCACTAAGGCAAAGAAATATGAAGCAGAATTACCTCTGAAAACATTTAGCCTGTTAGCACTGCAAATGACAGCCTGATTCTGCTCACCAATCTGAGTTCAGTAAGCAAAACTGCCCTCCCTAAAAGGAAAAATGTGAGCTATTTAAAATGTGTTGATTTCTTCCAAGTCTTAATGACTTCCCTTGCAGTCAGTTATTTGCAAACAATAGCCACTGTCGTATGCATGCTGTACGTTAAGACCACAAAACATTGTTCAAGATTGCAGCTCTGAAATACTATAATCCAGAAAAGTAAAGTAATCTTTTAAATCAGTTAAATCTTTAAGCATGTACCACTTTCAGGCCAGTCTATGACCTAGAAAATTGTCTGAATGTTTAACTTAAATGATGGAAATTCCTGTTCTTTGGTGCCCTTTAGATAGCAACTCTCATTCATAAACATTTTTAAGATACAGTTGGTATGTTTAAGTAGTTAAATCACAGGGTTTTGATGTTTACAAAAGTATCTTGTACCTGACTCATTTCTTTCCTCCTCCTGATCTCGCTTGCACCTCATTCAGGTGCTATGATCATTTCAAATGTTCCATCCATATCAAATTTCTAACTCATCATCTCATAATTCAAAAGACACTAATGCCAAAGACAGCTGGTTTTAAATATGCAACTGAATTTCTTTTCCCCCTTCTTAAAAATCCTGTAAATTTACTGTTGCAAATGGAACATAATAGAAATAGCAACATCAGCAGATTGTCAGTTACAATAGCCAGGAACACACAGCAGTCTGCATTTTTCTTTAACAGTTGAGTCTAAAACACTTCAAAAAATGGCAAGCTATTTTTGGATAAAGCACCAAGTCTGACAAAAAGTACATGCATATGCTCACTTGTGAGATGCCTCCACTTGCTTAAGTAAAATCTGAGGATCACATTCTGCCTCCAGCTATGTTCAGTAGTATCCTACTTTATGAGTAGACTTGAACTGTATCTAGATTAAGACCACTGCTGTAATTCTGCTCCTGTAGATGTACACCAGCTAGCTGTAATCAGGACTGCTAATAGGGTAGTTTCAGCTGTGCTGAACTAAACAGGGGACGTAGGATTTAAATCTCTCAAGAATCTAGGATAAGGAGCTGGATAGGAAGCTTGGGCTGAGGTCTAAGCTACTGCAGGTATGTGGCTTAGCAGAATCTATTTGAAAATAGTTCAAATACAGCTAATCAAGCAGCAGCTACCTGTCAGAAGGCATTTGGGCATATGCAGGGGAGGAGGCTCCTCAGCAGCGAAGAGATGACAAAAACCTAGTGGGAATAAGGAGTTTCTGACCTGGTTCAGACAAATATATTTCCTTTATTAAACTCTCTCCCCAGACGTATTTGAATTTTGTCACAATACTCCACATTTTTTTGCTTCCCCCTACTTCCCACTTAGGACTGGTGAGTGTGATTGGACTAGTCTTAAATGTACAACTGGACCCTGTTCAAGTAGGATACTGCACGCACTGATGAAATAATTTAGGTTTGTTTTAAAGAAAGTTATTTGTGTGGATTTTATTTTTTATAAATACATGCAAAGCATCTAAGCAGCTTACAGCTAGGATCATTTAGTTGCCATGGCAATGCCCTTTCAGAAGCAAGAATTTGTTTTAGGTTCTTCCAAGTTCTGTTCTTCTTGCCAGCTGCTGCTCCACCAATGCCGGAGTGCTAGAATTAAAAATACGGTGTTTAGAGTAAAAATAAATAAAGAATACTATTTCAGAGCGTGACACTTCTATTTCATAGTCTGTCTGATACGTCTCATCTTGTCATGAACCATTTGTTATCCTCACTTATTTCATCAGCAGGCTAATAAACTGCGCACTTTAATCTTGGCTGCAAGAAAAACAAAGCTTTTTGGACTATGTCAAAGCTACTATGTTTAGAATTAACTGAAGGAAATGGAAATTTGCCTTTTACATGGAAATAGAAAATCAATGTGGTTAGGTTTAGCCTGAGATTACAGGATTCTGTATGTACTTCCCATCGTATTAGTACTTACTACTATGAAGTTTTGTCTAAAACTGTGATTACACAGCTAAATTTTCTCTCTCCTTTTTACGGCATATTACAGGTACAGCTCTAGCTCTTGTAAATTATCCGTGACTGTAGAAAACACAACTGATCTTTCAAAATGTAATGAATACTATGAGTAACTTTCTGGAAATTTTATTTTTCTTTCAAAGGATAGAAGACAGAAGAATAGAAAAAGAGTAATAGGTAGAATGTTGGCTGCCAAGACAATTTTGCATTTTGAAAGGTACACTAATGGAAGGCTTGCCACAGGTACTGCAACAGTAGTTTCAGTTATCAAATGGGATTGCTACAGAGTAATTTATTTATGTCCCTCCAGAGACAGAAGCTGCACAACATACTGTACTACTTCTAAATGATCAAAGGACATAGATCTACAGCTTTACTTCAGAAAAGAAAATGTTCTTACAATCGGGGAGTTGTTGTTATCTCTGTTAATAATTACTACCTGCCACATAGGTCTCATCAAAACTCAGCAAAGTTTCTGCAAACACACTTCTTCTGTGATGGGTTTATAAATTAGCCTGTTAAATTGCAGAGAATGATAGGAGGAAGGATTCAATGAGAAACTTTTTTCTGTAGACATAAGATATATTCAGAAAGGATGCTTGTAAGCTGATGACGTATCAGGTTTTGGCAATGGATACCCAATATAGGAAGTACATGCTCTGAGAATAACACCTTAGTAATCTAGAGATCATGGTAAAATAGAGACTGCTGTGAGATAAAAATAGATGTACTACCACATTACTAATTCAAACTCATGACATGAAATTTCCCCCAAATCATTGCATAATGATTTCTTTTTTCAGTAGTCTGGTTTCTCAAAAGCAACTATTGAGTTTATAGGAACTTATGCCTCAGCCCCCACATACCTGCAATCAAAAGGCAATGACTGCCAAGCACAAATGAACAAAGCTACCTCTGCACTAGTGAAGTTCAGGGAAAGCTGGAGCTGGGACAGGTGGAGCTATTCATTGCTCTACACAACTGACAGAAGGTCTTCTTCCCCTTCCCCATTGCCAAGGGATGCAAAATCCATTCAGGAAGTTTAGAAAAAGGTAATTTCTTCCTTCTTCTCTGCTTTTAAGTCTATCCTCTGCAGTAAGCTAATAGTTCAAACTTGGGCATATTTATGAGAGAGAGACATTATTTGATTTTCTTCCTTTTAAGGCAAATTAGGCTGGAAAGATGCAAAAAGCAATCCAAATAGTTACTACCAGTTCATACTGACAAAAAGCTAGTTAAAACTCAATACATTTCTTCTCAAATGAGTTACTGTATTGGGGAGGACAATTTCATGTTTTTATTATAACTGCCTATTATTTCTGCAGCAGTTGCCAAAGGCCCTGTAAATTTATTATTATTTCAAGCATGCAGACATTAGTATTGCCTTGTTGGAAGAGGTGACATCCCCCTAAGAGCTGAAGGATCAGCACAAGGCCTCACGGCTATTTAAGTCCTATAGGGAAGCTATATGGAATGCCTCTGGGCACAAATGGAGCTTTTGCAATAAGCCCCATTTCTCAAAAGACGCTGGTGCTCACTGGAGGATTAGAGTGAGCAAAGTATACAGTCATTTGAACACCCCTCTCATGACAGAAGTCATCCACAAAGCCGACATAGAGCAACTGGCAACTCAGAGATTAATTTTAGGCCCCCTGCCAAACTTGTGCTTAGTGAGCTGTGTGATGCCCGATTACTCAGGTTTTATGCTGTGAGGTATTGTATCTTATTCATACAGAACGAAATCTGGGATAAAATCCTTCTTTCTAAGTACTGGCTTAGGACCAGCAGTCTGAGAAGTTTGCCTGTCTAGAAAGCCAATGAGTTGGCCCTGGCACAGCAAGATAAAAAGATATTAAAAACAAACCTAGCAGTGACAGCATTACTAGCTCTAGTCTTCCTTCACCTTCTCCCCCAGTTTAAACCTCTGAGTGTTTTAGCAGCCTGTATTTCGTCAGCTGTCAGAGTTTACATGACTTCTGAATGCCGGCAGGCCAAGCTTCTGGGGAGCACAGAGCGTTTGCTTCTAAATCTAGCAATTACCGGAAGAACAGACACCACAAGTCTGTTAAAAGTTTCAGGGACTGGGAGAGGAGCAAAATGCCAGTTGCTAATGACTCTCTGGCTGATTTCTAGTTCAATTGTTTTGCAGTCTGCCTCGTCTAGGAACTGGGAGGTGGGATTCCTACATTCACAGCGGTATAAATTATTCCTCTCTAGCTGTGGTAGTTTGTGAGATACCACATCATAAAACTTGTGCACTTACCTTGATCTAGCAGGTTTTCTGACTCTGTTCCAGAACTTCACATAATCGTTCTGCCTCTGGACAAGTGCCATTTCCATGCCATAATATACTGTGCACTTTGGACCATAGTGTAGCATGGACTTGAGGTGAATTTCTTAAAAATTGCCAACATTTTATTTGGCTGTTAAGCTGACTTTCTTAATATTTACATTAGCAATATGGTTAAATAGAATCCTAGTTAATATTTTATTTGAAGAGTTTAGAATTTCAAATTGTTAAAATAATATACTTACAATGAATTTTGGATCTTTAAATGGTAACGGCTTGACAGTTGTTTCCACTGATCCTGTGCTGGAGTCTGTGTTCAGAAGTTTGTTTTCATTCATGGCCTCCCCACCTGCACTCTGAGGAAAAAAATACAGTCTTACTGCTTGTTACTCTGAGCAAGTTTAACCAGAGACTGAGCTGTCTGCTGTATTACCTACCTGTTGCCTTTTCAGCCTTTCTATATCTTTTGAATCTTTAAAGATGTTGCATGCCAGCACTGGGGAAGCATGAAACAGAGTATTTGTCAAGCAATTTACAACTGACGCATAAAGCAGAGGAGGGGAAGAGAGTGGCCAAAGCCTACTGAGTAAAAACAGCATCGGGTTTATTTCAGCCTTAATAAAATCCATCTCTGTGAAGTGCAAGACAGCATATGAAACCAGAAATGGCAGAAATGTAGGTTGGATTTGTTTCAGAATGTTCAGTATTAGAGCATTAACAGGAATATATAAAATTTATAAGAAAATTTTTGTCAAGGTTCTAAAGACTAATTGATTAATTAGTTTACTCTCCATATGTGGTTTCAATCATGCCTGAGTGAGGATTGAGGGGAAAAAAAGATTTTATTATATGTATTATTTTTATATACAAGCCTCACAAAATCTACATCAGTACTAGTTGGTGTTTTCTAGGCTTTTCTTTATGGATTATTTATTTAGAGGGAAGAGCAGTTGGAGAAGGGGTGTGTGTGACTGGAAAGCTAAAAAAGTTGTGTGGTAGTCTAACCAATTTCTGATAGTTCTGCATGGCTGAGTCTGTGGTGATTTTTTTAATTTTGTGAGCACCTGTAGTCTCCACACTAGCAGAACTAGACCATGCTACATGCATAAATGTTCCTCGTGAAATCCTGATCGATACTGAAGCCAATGAAAACTTTGCCATTTTGTTTGGCAGTTCAATCAATAGGATTTCATACCTTGACTCTTTTTTCTTGAAGAACAAAAAGCTTGGCTAAAAGCTAAATCAACATTTATTGGGCGAGTGGTTAAAATGTTTCTTTACCTTCAGACAGATAATACTTAGAACAAAAAAATGTTTTCCTGTGAAAAACCTGCACTGCAAAACCTTCTGTGTTGATACAATACTCTTTTATGTACAAGAAAAAAGGACCATTATTATTATTAATGAATTATGGGAGTACCTCTAGAAACTGAGACTATGTAGCAAAGGCCATCATTCAGCATATCCTTCTCCATGTGATTACAAGGGAAGTGTTTGTATTCTTAACTACATGCTTAAGTAATTACAGGATTAGGAACTAGGCAAGTTGGACTCTTCTTTGGGGAAATACATCAGTTATTCAACAGTGCCTGTTTTTTGCATAGCAAAGAGAGGTCTTAAATATTCAAAGTATGGTATAAAGAAGCATTCAAGTAAAATAGTCATGTTTCTAGTATCTTCTTAAAATAAAATATAAGAATAGAAATGATCTATTTTCAAAACAAAGTCAGTCCTCTGTAAGCTCACGGGACAGGGGATACTGCCATAATAACATCAGTGGAAGCGACACTGAAGTCTGTAGCTTAAACTTGTTTCTTCCCTTGCCGAGGACAACATTAAAAGGCAGTGACTGTCACAGAAACAGAAGAAATGCAGATGGATGTTTAGAAACGTGCATTATGTGAGAGTGAGCAGAGCAAATATCTTCAGCAATCCTGAGTAAAGTGGCTTTATACAATGAGTTGCTAGGTTTCAAACTATATTCTTGCACATGCATGCTTCCAGCACTTCAGATTTCAGCAGCAAACATTAAAGTCAATCTTGAGAAAGACAAGGCTTGAGATACAAGATTATTTTTGATGAATAAATTATCTCTGATACTGCTCATTATCAGTGTAAACTCTTTAAGTGGAGGAATCGGGGCTCACAGTTATTCTTCAAAGCATTCTTGCCTTTTATATGGTACCATTTGGTTGGTTTTAAATCCAAACCTATGTTTTTTATTAATCACTTTATCACTTTTGCCCCTTCAGTGATCTTCTTCTAAGTATTCTGTTGTTGATGAAACAGGTTTTGAGTAGCATTTCAACAATATTGCAAAACAGTATCTAGCATTTTGAGACAGAGCAAATAAAAATGGTTTATCAGTAAAGGGAAAGAAGCTTCCTTATACATATAGTCCTTAATTTCTACAGCTGGGTACATTTACATTTGTCACTTACAGTCTTCAGTGGGTTTTTCCACATGGATTCAGTGCTAATCTTGCTGGCGCATTGGGAAGGAAAGTAAGGAACTGTTCCTGGCAGGACAATTCCTGAATGTAAATTCTACACGTCGTTTCTTTTCCGGACCAACCCCGAAGGGATTTCAGGTATTAGCACTGCTAAGAGTCGGGATAACTCACGTTACATGCCAGATGTTGATTTTGTTTGTGCTAGTATCCCTTGCACAGTGGCAGAGGCAGCAGGATCCGGAGCAGCAGCTGCTTTTCTGGGCCATGCAGACACCCAAGTCACCCTCCAGTCCCACTGAGACGTAACGCCAGCAGGAGCTTCTGGATCTGTCATGGACAACTTGAGAGCAGTGGTTTCCTCTCCAAGGCAAAGGGTGCAGACTGGTGTGCAGGACTGGAAAGCAGGTTGCATACCATAGTGGCATGCAATTGATACCATGATTTCAGAGCCCTGTGATAGACTGGCAAGCAAGTAAGACTGAGTACTGTGATCCTAGTTAAATGCTGGGAACTGAGATAAAGGCATACTGTAGAGGCATGCCAATTCCCTCACTCAGAAGCTGCTTGCATGAAAATTCTGATTTTTAGCAGTAACAGAGCACTATGGAAGAAAGATACTCAGCTAATATAGCTTCTGTCTGGAAAAACATTAAAGAGTTGAGTAGAAGCACTGCTCCCACAATAAGATGCTACTGCACAGAGGAGTGAACTCCAGCAAGTACAGAGCTTTGAAATGCTTTTTCCCTGCAGCCTGCAGAAGTCTCAGCTGATATCCTCAGCAGTTTTTCAGCCACAAACTGAAAGTGTCTCAACAATCTACAAATCTGTCCAGCCTATGTTTTAAAATGTCAGGATTTAAAGCACAAGAAACATAATTTATTTTCAGGTTTGTTTTTTAAAGGGAGAAGGGAAGGAATGCCAAATGGATTTTAACCATTATGGATTTACCTTTGTACTGCAAACCCCATCTTTCTTGACCATGAATAATGCAGTGGTAAATACAAAACATTATTTTGAGCCTGAACGGAGCTTCCTCAGTGAACAGGAATTACTGTGCAGTAAAGGTTATCTTTAACTTTTAACACGAGCTGAACACGTCTCTCAAATGTGCTTGTTTGCTTGGTCGTTTAGTTTGGAAGATACTTCATTCTTCACTGTCATGTGTTGGGGCAAACAAACAGGAATGAATTAAAATCCCCTCTGTAGTCCTGTGAAGCGATGGCAGTCTCGTGAGCACAGCGAGGAAGCGGCTGTCACCAGGGAACATGGACTGCTCAATGTGCGCCGTAACCCCCAGTCACGTGTGGGGCAACTTCCCCTTCCTGCCCAGTTCACAACCAGTCCTCAGCATATTTTCTCTACCCAGTCTCTTCGCTAACTCTCTCACTCCCAGTGTCCTAGGATAATCCCAAATGTTTTGTAGCAAGGCGACAAAGAAACTGTAACCCCGGGCTGAAACTCTGGAAAGAGTCTTTAAGGCTTCTTTTTAACTGAGCTTGTAATGTAAACATCCTTTATGGGGAGCTCAATGTACACTTCAAGGAGAGAGACAGTGAAGCAGCTTTTACTGTGCACTTTGTAACTAAACTATGTCTTTTAAACAGTGGTTTATGTAACTAGGGCTACAGGGAATTTGTGCTACAGCAGTCACTAAGCAATCTGTATTTCTCTGTAGGCTGTTGGGGACTGTAACAGCAAAGGCTTTGGAGTGGCTTTACATTTACAGGTACATCTGCACTGGCAAATGAAGGTCCATGCTGCACCACTTCTCATGTCGGCTCCCTCTCTTCTCCTCCTCCCGGTATCCCCCTTAGCCAGGTGTAGAGCAACCTTGACTGGAATTGCATGTTTTAAAAGTTGTAGGCAGCGGGTGAAAGGCTTCTTACAGGACCGCTTGTGCAATTTTATTCCCTCTATAAAGTTGCATTTATGTGCTTTAGCTGAATTTTAACTGCAACCGCAGTGTGACAGGTTGGCAACCTCCACCTCTCCTGGGATAGACGGAAGCAATAGCGGGGGATGTGGCTTCTTTTTCGCATTTCTTTTCATAAGACCATCCCTCGAGTATGCAGCGCATCCCAGCTGCGTGGGACACAGTCCTCCCCGTTACATACTAGGACTGGGTGACAGTCACCCAGTGAGGAAGCTGGCTGAGGACTTCACTTGGTTAGGAGACAGCAAAAATTCAAGAGAGCAATGAACTGCAGCAAACACTCGGGAATCCTCAGAGGTTTGTTGTAAGAGCAGCCAAGTCTGGGGAAAGGAGCGGAGCAAAGCTTTGCTACCTTAACACTGGTTTCTTTTGAATAAAGCCAAACCCCAGGAATGAGCCTAGTTTGGACCCTACTGTATATGCTGTCTGTACTGGGAGAAAACACACATTGGGAGGGTGCCTATTCACATACTAGTTTCCATCTTAGGTTTTGGTAGATCTATTAATTTTTTCAATATATTCTGTTCCAAATTCCCTACCGCAGATGTATTGGTTTTCACATGATTTCCAAAGATTGCTCCATTTGTCTGGTTTTATTTAGAGAGAGGACAAGCAAAACTTGTAGACCATGGAAGCAGAATTCTTTGTTTTGGCTATTTCTAGGTGGAATCAGCATTGTGGGGTTTGGGATGGGTGTCTGTGATGGGACTAAATACCAGGTGCAATTAGCTTATTATGAAAGTGCTTGTCTGAATCATCATTCCTTTTTTCTTTTTCCCCAGAGGGGATTAAAACTGCGTAACAGAGTAACTGATTTGCGTTGAAGTATCATTTCTTATCTATTTACTTCTAGATTATATTCGATAATATTTTTTCATTATTTTAGACTAATAGGATTTGACAAAGTATAAGAAACATAGAAAAATATGAAACATAAAAGTCAAAGACATAAATTTGTTCATTTCTGGCATCCTATCAGTGCATACCATGCATGTCACAGGTTAGGAAAAAAAATGGATTTGCACATTACTGAAGGTACACTACGATCATCAGTGACCATTTCACTAGATGTACAGGTTTACATGGTAAAACAGAATTTAAAAATAGAAGGTAAACTGAACCATGTGTTGGTAAAGCAAAACTTAAATGCATAAATAAATTCCGTAAGAACTGGAAAGGGGCTTCTAGTTTAAGGGAGCAAAAGCAATACTGTAAACATTGATTTTCTCTGTCTGTTTTGTTTTCTGCAAATCATTAGTCAGTTTTAACACAATATTGAGTACAGCAATTGTAGATGAAGCTGTACATAGGTAGTTTTTTGGTTTGGTTTTGCTTCTGCATTCAGTACTTCTGACACTCTGGCTTTGTCTTAAAGTGATGATTAAGGGGTTGTATGTCGCTATTGAAAAATAAGTAATAAGAGGAATCTGGATCTAAATCAAGCCCTCACACTTGGTGATAACTTTGCTCCAAGCACCAAATTTGGCTTGCTGAGGAACCCATTTGTCTCCAACCTTTGTACGTGAAGCTCAATAAATACTTTAAATTATTTTTACTTCCTTTTGGCAGCTGATTTGCATAGCCACAATAACATTCCTAATTTCATTGACACTGTTGTTTTAACTCAGCCTCAGTAGTGGTATTTGTCTACTTATTCCTGTAGTAGGCTACTTCTAAAGCAGCAATATCCAACTTGTAGCAACTTACCTAGCTACGTTCTCTGACATCCTGACGAAGTTGTGGCATGCAGCCAGGGAAGAGAATAGTAATTCCTAAAATAGATGGATAATACCTGTATTTTCACAAGCAGCCAATTACAGTGAGCACGAATACCATGTGGAAACAGAGCACAAATGTCATTATATTACAGCTGCAATGATATGAGCAGACTTTCCAAAATTGGGAGTAAACTTTGAATGTCACCTATTTAACACAGTCACAGCTAATACTGCTCATAGTGGAACATATACTAAGCTGTTTGATTAATATATTAGCTCTCACTGTATAACAAGCCTGGTATAGGCTCTTGCACATTCTGAATATTTAATTAATTTAACTCTGCATGATGACATGACAGGAGCCATTAAAACTTGAACACTTACACTCTGGCAGGCAAAAATGCAGTTCTGCATTGCTGGGAACAATTCAGAGAGAGAGGTGTCAGAATCAGACGTGCTTATGCTCACGTTAAAATGATAGCTAAAAAAATTACTCATCACCAATGTTATTAGCATAGTGTATTTCTGAAAGTAAACTCACTGAAAACTCCATCACAATGTGAGACCGAAGAAATAGCACTCTCTTGGAAAAGATTAACTCTCTCCATGTCTGTGATGATTGATAGAAAGGTTTGCTGGAAAGACTTACTCAGTAACATGTATAAACATGTCTTCCCCATCTGGTTGCATTTTACTAGTTCAGGAAAAACCTTTTCCCTCTTCCTTTCCACTCGCTAAAATGAAGCCCCGTACAATTTCCCCAATCTTTTCTCTCTTAGAACTCTGGTACATGGTAGCATTTTAGGAACGTCCTCCCTTCACAGGAGGTTCTACCTTATTTTGAGGTAGGACAAAAAAGATTTCAGCTTGAAATTTTTCAAATGGCAGGAAGGAAAAAACCAAATCTTGCATATTCACAGCAAATTTTGTTCCACAGGGTACTGAAAAGCTCAATTTACTAAAAAAAACCCAACAACTGAGTAATAGCCAGCTGAAAACAGGTATTAAGTACAGTGCAGATCAACGTCCTTGATTTCAAGCAGCTCGCAAGGTGGGCAACAGCATCACGCATACAGTGTAATTTGAGAGTAAATCCATTTACGTAAATGGGTTTCATCATTGCCAACTCATCTCAAAAGACAAGGTTCCTGGTGCAGGTTTCTGCTTCCATTGACATCAGATGTAAATCTCCCAAATGCCTGACAACAAAAATATTTTTGTTTAAATTATGGCATTGTCCTCAGATGCTGATGATGCTTTCATTATATAAGGAAAGCTGAGGGAGGGTTGTTAAAAACAAACATAACAACACAAAGCTTGAACTTAGATTGTTGAATTATTATAATAATAGTTTATAATTCCACGTACATGTCACTAAAAATACTTCAGCTTCTTCTAAGCATTTCCCAGAGGACTTCTGAGTCACATGTCTAACTACTTTTCTGTGCTAGGCTTTCAAAATCTGCCCTTCCTAAAGCAGCAGTTCCTTCCCTCTAACTTCCTGAGTATTTCCGCTGAGCATCAAAAGGTAATCAACTATGCTAATTAACTCCAAACGTAAGACTAAAATTTAGAAATAATCTTGCCTGTTGGGTGTGTAAGAGAGGGCGGAGGTATTTGAAGCAGGACATGGAAAATGTTTCACTTGCACAGGTAAGGATAATACATAGACACATAAGCTGTCCAGAAAGCAATCTGTACATCACGCTTTTGAACTTTTACACCACTGTTTTGAGGCGAGTTAAAACATCTTATATTCCAACTGCCTTAGAAAGCTGAATAAAATTTTACTCATGCACTGAAAGATTGGACTGTCACAAAGTGATGGATGGCTTTTCTATGTTCTCTGTAGGGCATTTCAATACCATAGACTCCAAGTGCTCTTGATTAAAAGGCGACATTCTCATTAGGGTCCCATCACTGCCTGAGCTTCAAACCATTATCATTCACCTGCACTGGTGCTTCCAGTGACAAAATACTTACCAAAATTTATAAAATACTAATTACTTCAGTCACTTTGATGGAGGTATAAAACACCCTAAAGCAAAGCTCTATTACGCTGTGTGAGGATTTGAATTCAAAATTAAAAATGCAGCCAAAGGGAGAATAAGACTTTAATTACATTTCCATCTCTCAAACATTTCTTGAAAACCTAGGGGAAAAAGGCCTAGCAATTTTGTGACACAAGAACTCCCTTCTTAGTGGTACTGCTCACTTAAGGAAAAAAAAATCCAGAAAACCTCAAATTTACTTGGTTTTCTTAAAAATTATTAAACTTTCTAACACAGAAAGACACTAACAAGCTTTAATAAAAAGGTCTGATTTCTTCTCAGGAGATTTCGGATGCCGAACATGTTTTTCCATTTAAAAACTTTCAAGCACTATTGATAGAAATCGGTAGTTTTATAACTTGCAGATATTTCAAGGAAAAAAGAATTACTATTTTCTATGGGGAAAAGTCTAAAATAAAATGCAATTGGAATGCAACTGTGAATAGCTTCACACTATCCCAGAAAAGCCTGGTTTAATTTGCATTAGCCACAAAGCTCCCTTCGGCTTAAATAATTGCAAAGGATCTCTCACTTTTAGATTTCATTTGGTGGATTGGGATTACTCCTTGTTCATAACATTTGACAGTTTTCTTTATTAAGAAAATTGTAACTTGGACAAATTCATGAACTGAATGGCATGCTGAAGCAGCTCTGGAGCTAAAAATTTCAGTATATATGGAATGAAAAAGAATGTGTTAGGTCATACTTTCAGCAAGGGTAAAACTGAGCCCAGCTAACAGAGTATTTTGATTCCCCAAGAGGAAAAAAAGTTTTCTAAATTGATGGGCCTTAAGACTGAAAATGGGTGGAAGTGTAGTAGCAAAAAAGACTAGATTAAATCACAACTGAATTTTTATAAAAACTGCCAGTACATTCCTTTCTCTATCAGGAAAACTCAGCTCAGTCAAGGACTTCGGCTAAACTGCTTCTTAAAGTTTAAAATGCATCATTTGATACAGAACAGTTAAAGTATTTCAGGAGAAAAGACAGGAGGATTACAATATGCTCATGTGCTGTTAACATTGTAAGGCTGCTCAGGGAGCTTATCAAAATCGCTCTGTCGAATAACAGGCTTCAGCCTAGGTAGGAGAAGGGTCCAAGTCCATTCATCTGCATGGGACTGAACCAGGGACAAGGAAAGTAAAAAGATACCGGCCTTTACGGCTGACATGAAAGGAATTCCATTCCGCAAAAAATACTCAGTTTCCTGATTCTAGTTTATTCTGTAAAACATTATCCATTTTGACAGGAAACAATGTGTGAGTAACAAACAAAACCAAAACAACATTTCTTCAAGGAAAAGCAATTAATTAGTTACAAGTAAAGGTAGGGTGTATCTGTCTTCCAGAGCTCCTACTATATCTCTTTTTTTTAGCAAAAATAGACCTCAATTAGAATAGTCAAATGTTACATTTGGATGTTATAGACTAACTGGTAAAGTGATACAGAAAACAAAACTTTACTTTTGCATTTCCCGTATTTTTTGCACATTTTAGCACTTCCTTCTTTCTGCCTTGTCACTTTAAGTTGATAAAAAGTCTGTTTCTATTATATTTCTGCTAACTGCACCTACTGATGCATTAGTAAATACCAGCAGTCGTACTGCAAAGGCTTAGTACTGCAGTCTAAACTTACTCAGAAGAAGGTTTTTCCATTTGTGTGCAGGTACTTAGACTGTCATACTCAAACACGATGCCAGAAGGACAAACGTTAGGTACAGTGACATATGGAACATTCGACTTCTAAAGCAACCAAGAATAAAAATATTCTTTCTACAAACCTTCAAAAAGTTATCAAAGGCATAACGTATCAGAGAGTAGTAACTGTAGCAGATGCTCTAAAGGACTTTAAAAGAGGTGTCCCAGTTTCAGCTGGGATAGTTAATTTTCTTCCTAGTAGCGGGTATAATGCTGTGGTTTGTATTTAGGATGAGAATAATGTCGATAACACACTGATGTTTGGTTGTTGCAAAGTAGTGCTTATACTAAGTCAAGGACTTTTCAGCTTCCCATGCTCTGACACTGAGGAGGTGCACAAGAAACCGGGAGGGGGCACAGCCAGGACAGCTGACCAAACTGGCCAAAGGGATATTCCATACCATATAATGTCATGCTCAGTATATAACCGGGGGAGAGTTGGCTGGGGGCACTGTGGCTCAGGAATTGGCTGGGCTTTGGCCAGCAGGTGGTGAACAACTGTATTGTGCATCACTTGTTTTTGTATAGTCTTATTCTATTATTATTATAATTAATAATTATTAATAATAATAATAATCTCTTCCCTTGCTGTCCTATTAAGCTGTCTTTATCTCAACCCACGAGTTTTACCTTTTTTTTTTTGATTCTCCTCCCCATCCTACCAGGTGGAGGGGAGAGGAGTGAGTGAGCGGCTGTGTGGTGCTTAGTTGCCAGCTGGGGTTAAACCATGACAAGAGGACAGGAAAAGAAACTCTACCTTAAGTTTTTAAAAATCTTCAGACCACAAATATCGTCCTTATTGTTTGTCTCGTGTTATGGGACAAAAAAAACCTGGCTGTACACGCCCTGAATACTACATACACTTTCCTTCATCTAGCAAACTCAACACCAACTACTCCTGCTTTGAATAGCACACCAGGTCTCCTGTACTGACCGAAATTGTAAGTGCATTATCCCATGGATACCTACACTTAACTGGATAATGAAAAAAACCCTGATGATTGAACCAAAATAAACATACAGCAAATTCTAATTTAGATGAAAATAAGGTAATATAAGTATCTATTGTAGACTCTTTTGAGGCTGCTCAGGAGGAAAAGGGAGGAGAGAGTTGTGATGCTAATTTCAAGGCAAATTTCTGAAATATTTCTGCAGAAACATTTTTACAAGTAAGTGGGTTTTTATTCAACTGTCTACGTTCTGTGGCCATACGCTTCACCCTGATACTATATATTGAAGTTGAGGAACTGCAGCACACCTCAAAAGCTCCAGACAGTTCAGTGTTTTGCATATAAAATTGTATCCCAACTGCCTTTTTGCTGGACTTGAAACAGAACAGAACTATTAAAAGACTTGACTTTTCCACCACATTAGAATTAGTGAAGTTTTGGTATCACATCCACAACTGTAGGTGAGAGGAAAATACAGTATTTAAAATTTTGTAATAGTTTTAACAGTATGTTTTAAGAAGGTTCCCACAGTGAATTATTTAGCAAATAAAAAAATACCTTTTGGTCAGATGGAAAGAAGGAGAATAGAAAGGGCAATTCTGTGGCTGCAACAAAAGGCAATTCTAGCTGCAACAAATAGGCTGAACAAAAATTAAGGAAAAAATGGAATTTCTGACTTGAGAAAATTTAAGGTTGTTAATGTGAGATTCAAACTAGCATTGTTAGTTCTAGACTATGTAAAGAAAGATAACCAGCTTAAGGAATAAGGCCTTTCCAGCTAACTACTTTGGTTTGAGGAACCTGAACACACTGCGCACATGTCAAGGAAAAATAGCTTTCTGCTATTCCAGTTTGTTGATTTTAAGAGTAAGTTTTGCTGTGAGAACATTGTGCTCTTCCTCCCACGGAAAAGCAGTTCTACTAAAACATAACCGTTGTTACAGTGTAGGAAGAATACATACAGTCTAAATGTAGTCACTGAACTTTGGGCTACTCAGCTGAGGTACCCTGACCTGCCTACGGAAGGCATGTACGACTGCTCGTCTAGGGAGAGGGCACACCCATCTTAATCACATCAATCAGGCGTCTGAATTGAGACACGGTAGCACTGAATCACTGAGGCTGGAAGGGGTCTTGGGAGGTCACTAGCCCACCTCCTGCTCAAAGCGGGGTCAAAACTGACCTCGGACCAGGCTGCTCAGGGCTTTGTCCCAGCAGGTCTTGAACACCTCCAAGAAAAGAGATTACACAGCTCTCTGGGCAACTCTCCGTCTCCCTAGTTAGAAATCAATATCCTATAAAATATAAAATACTGGGTTTATTAACAAAAAGCTCTTTCAGTCATGAGCAGTCATATAACTCACAGTAATTACTGCCCTAATTTCTGCATGTTCCATTTCAGCAGTATTTTGCTGTAGTCTTGATGGTTTCAGGGCATAAATGTAACAAAGTTTCTGGGCAGAGGGGTCATCTTTTATTAAATGTACCTGTTTATCTGGAAAATTAAGACAAGCTTCTGGATGAACTGCATATCAATACACCACTGACTCAATAGAAAGACTTTTTATAGCGCATAACTTTCACAGAGTTTCCTACAGGCTCCCTTCTCCTTTCTCCTAGCTGATAAATATTTTCGTAACACTCTCTCTCTTCCCTGATTAACATCTCATGTACTCCTGGGATGCCACTAACCTTTTCTTCAAAGATGGTCTACTTGATACCTACCTAACCAAACTCTACACAGTAGTTTCAGATTTGAAAAAAGACTTGCATGCTTGAAAGCTTATTTGATTTTCCGGCTGTAACACTGAAGTGACACTATCCATACCTGTAAACCTTTTGCAGAACCTATTACAGACGTCTTAGCCTTTTTTGCCCTTCTTCTTGTTCTTTCACTAACTCAGAAAAGCATAAATGTGAAGAAGCAGTAAATAAGGCTGTCGTGATAAGCACATTACATCCTTATGAACACAGGGATAAGTAGTGTTAAAAGCACACCAACACTGTAAGGGCAGAAAAGTAAAGAAACTAACTTGCTTAAAATTGTGTAGAAGGTTTCACCTCTAGGTCTGTGGGTGTTTGCAAGATGTGGTATCTTTTTAAATTATGTCAGATTTCATGTAATTCACATATTAGGCAGGCGGTGCATTGAAGCACACAGAAGTGTGTATTTTGTCTGTTGAATGAAAATTGAGGACATAAGATATACAACAAATCATTTTTCTCTGTTTAATAAATTATAAAAGGACAGATATGATACTAGAAGTCTCTCTCCATGTGGTAAAACCAAGCAATGGCCTGCAATGCTTTACAGAAAGATTTTTGTTTTAATTCCCAAAAATGCTCCTTATCCACAGCAGGGTCTTATAATCAGCAAGGACAATTTTTGTTCCTGAGTCAGCCAGCACACATCCTGGGGCATGATGATTACAAACCATGTAACTACAGATATTCACCCCTCCCAGAATGATGGACTCTACAGTTTAGTTACAAATTACTCACAAAATAGTTTCCTTCTATCCATTTCAAATTTGATTCTTGAATTAACAGTGATGCATTTTTATTACAACATAAATGCATGTTATTAGATGGCATGACTAGATAGCTTTTTGGCTAGAGTTTTGGAATGAAAAGATTTCTGATCCCTGTTTGCACAACTGTGTATTTTGCATTAAAATTATCATTAGACAAAACAAGTAACAGAAACAAATACCTAAAATACATAAGCAGACCATTCTGACAACCGTGTTCAATACTATACTACAGAGTTGTTCTCTTTGGAACAGACAGAACCTCCATCCGTGGCTGGAGAGGAGAATACATTTCCACACCCCCCTCCCACCATACCAGACTGGCTTCCAGTCTGGTGGTTAGGGTGTATGTGGGGAAAAAAGGGGTTTGAATCCCCTCTGGCAGTGGCAGGAACAGGACTAACTTCAAGTGGAGAACACAGAAAGCACTTGTAAGGAAACGTGATATAAAATGCCAAGTATTGGTGCCTTAAGTGTGACTTCTGTTCTACTTAATATCTGCTTTCAGAACGGCAGATGTTCATGGTTCTGAACCCCAAGTGGAAAGAGTTGCCTGTATCTTCAGGGAGAAGTAGAATTAGAACTAGTCATTAGTATTTCCTGCTGGCTTATTTTGTTGGCACCTCACAGAGCTTGCTGGAGTTTGTAGAATCAGTTCTAAGGTACTTTGAGACTGACAGACAAGCAGTATGACTGCTGAAGCTGTTACTCTCCAGGTCTTCCCACAGGCAGGGACACTGGATCTACTAATGAATCAGATCTTGAACTCCTCCAGTTTGCATTTAGTTTGTTACAGTAAACTAACAAAACCTGCAGTTAAGAGTATCTAAGCTCATGAAATAGCTCGCCTGCAGTGGAAAAGTGGTTTTCCTTGCACATGGTCCTGTTTCTTCCTTGTGCTACCTCCAACACCTGTTAGACCTCCCTGTGAA